AAGGAAGAGGGGGGGAAAAAAGCCCACCATGTACAGTATTAAAATAAATTGATTCAATATAGATTTTTATATTTGCAGACTTTCTTGGTGTATCTGCTATTAATCTTCTGGGAGCATTTAGCTTATTTACTCCAAGAATTTTGCTGTTTATCTAATTGTATCAAACATTTAATTAAAAGAGCTATCTGCTTGCCACTAATGCTTGGAAGCCGAGCTGTGTCCCATGAGAATGTGGTATCTGTTACTAGGTGTCTCTGAGTCAGAGAAGGTCAAATTATTAGTGGTTCTAATTAGTTTTCTCACAAGCGGTCATGTTATTTAGATCCAAAACTATGTGGCAAGTGATTGCTTTCTCCCCTTGCCTTTGAAAATAGCAACAAAAAGCAAAATGAGCTGCCCACTACTTTCTTGAAAAACCCTTCACCGAGGACGGGGCCCCCAGTGCTTCTGTGGGACCTCCAGCTGTTTCTGTATTTTGGCTCCCATGGTGTGATGGAGTCGGGTACTGGTGCTTTGTGGCTGGAGGGGTCTCTGGAGGCTACAAGGCACGTTCACGATGGCTGTCTCCTCTCATGCTTGGTCCAACCTCTTCTCCCAAATGTATGGGGATAAATGGGGAGGTGGGGCCAGATTCTGTGACTATAAAAGCACCACAAAGTCTCAGCTGCTGAGCAGAGTCTCACCTTCCACCTGATCCCGCGGGGAGCTCCGGAGAGTAAAGCGTACCCTGGGTTGGCCCCGCCTGGACGCAATGGGGCGGCTGGGGTTTTGGGCTCTCACACTGGTTTGTTCTTGGTTACAGGTAACTAAAGGGACTGGGGGCACTCAAATCTCCAGGCCTTTACTGTTCCAGTACCCCAAGGTAATGACCCTGTGATGATCCCTGGTAGGAGCCTCTGACAGCAAACGCGGGATGGGCACATAGCCGGAAAGGGGATGCCAGGGAGAGCCAGACGGGGCGCCCACGGTGTCCTCCACACCACACATTTCTCACTCAACACACAAGTATGTCCTGAGCACCTCCGAAGTGCCAGCTAACTCTATCCTAAGCATCACCTTTAATCTCATCAGTCTTACCTCCTTTATAACACCAGCTCCTGCCTGGAATGTTCTTCCCCATTTACGTTTACTCACGTGTTGCCTGTTTCTTTCTACTAGAATTTAAGTTTCACGGGAGTATAAACTCAGGCTGCGAAGTTCGTCATGGTGGCTGGAAGGCCTCTCCCAGGAGGTGGTATTTTCCCTAAGGCCTGAAAGTCAAGGAGGAGCCAGCCACGGATAATGGGGAAGAACATTTGAGGCAGAGCATGTAACCAGTGCAAGAGCACTGTGGTGGAAAGACGCTTGGGATACTGAAGGAACGTGGGGGGGGGGGGCTCGTGAGCAAGAGGGAGGGAACACATGGGGGTGGGCCAGATGATCCAGGGCTCTGTCGCCATGGGAAGCAGACTGGCATTTACTTAAGTCACAGTGGGAAGCCATCAGAGAGAGGCCAACCCAGCCCCCGCCCATCATCAGCTCCCTGATGACAGGCCTTCTCTGTACCTCTTTCAAGCACAGCATATGGCACAGATAAGCAGTTAGGGCCTTTCACGGTTGATTTTCTATTCAGCACAGTTTGTTGATAAATGCCAAAAGAATATACGTAGACTTATGTCAGCAAGACATGCTGGTGCGATTTTATAAAGAGAGACGATTATCCGCATACACGAGACGGACAATCTTGGCCGCGCAGCAATCCCCACACTGCTGAGCTTAGCAAGTCAGGGTTTGTTTGCTGAACCTACGATTTCAATGGAAGGATGCACCCAGTTTACCTCTTTTCTTCCTCCGTGTGCCTTTCTGAATAGCCACTCACAGCCCTCCCCCCCACCCCTCGCGACATTCCAACAGAGAATGGAGACAGCAGGTGCGACTCCTGCGACCTTTCTGATATGGGAGGCGCAGCCCCACGAGGGAGGGCTGGGGATGTGCCTGAGTAAAAGGAGCCAATGTGAATGAAAAGTCTCTCTGTTCCTTTGGTGTCCCTTGAGGAAACTTCAGGTGAGTCGGGAATGCAGATGGTGGGGCTGCCTGACTACCCAGGGAAAAATGAGCTGTCTTGTCTCTGGGTAGGCCTTAGAGATGACTTTTTTCATGTCATGGATGAGAAATCCAAGGCATGGCGTCTGTGAGAGGCTCGGCCGAGGCCAGAGAACGGGGAGGTGGCTACAGCCGAGAGCACCCCACTTCCTCCCAAGTTTCCCTTATCGAGGCTCATAGATCTTCTTCACCATCACATGCTCCCTTGAAGGGAGAGCTCCAGCCTGGACCCTCCCATGAGTCACAGAGCCTTGGGAAGCGTCCCTGTCGTGATCCTACAAATATGAAAAGTGACCATTTGGGGAAGCAATGCTTCCAAATGAGATCTGGAATCTTTTAGACCCTGGAGGGCTGAGCTTAAGGTTCTGTTTCTAAAATTCTTAGAAATATGCCAATTTAAGTTCAGAGAGAAAAAACAAAACAAAACCCCTCTGGCTTTGTGCTCTAGAGTCAGTCAATGGGTTTGGATAATAGGAGCCTGAATTGCGCCCTTCTGAGGAGAGATCATTTAAGATCCACCCCTCAGGCGGTGAGGAAAGCAGGATGACCTTACCTTTTTGTCACTGAGGCCGGTCACTTGGTCCACAAATTCCTCCTGGATCATGAAAGCAGCCAGGTTGGCCGTGTAGCTGGCCAGGAATATGACAGCGAAGAAGGCCCACACGGACACCATGATCTTGCTGGTGGTCCCTTTGGGGTTCTGCACGGGCACAGAGTTGTTGAACACCAGGCCCCAGAGTAGCCATATAGCTTTTCCAATCGTAAAAGAAGGCCCATGGGGTGCTGTAAATAACAGAAAAGACACTGTCAGCATTTTCTCCAAAGGGCTACGTGGCGGCCGCCTGCAGCCCCACCACTGGCCAGAAGATGGAATGGTCTCTCATGCTTGCGCCCCATCATTGCCCAGAACCCCAGCCACCACAGCTCCCTTTAGCTTTAAACACGAGCATTCTTCCTGCATTTCTATCTGGCTGGATTCTTGCCATGTTTCTTAAAAGAAGGGGAAATAAAAAATAAGCAAGAAAGGAGAAGTAAATGGCCATGCAAAATGTGGGTTTGGATTAGAAGTCACATTAGGGCCGGTTGTAAATTTGGATTCGATTTCCATTTGAGGGAACCAATCTCCTTTAATAAACATAGTGAGCCTTACAAAACTGTGTGTGGGGGCGTCTTCGGTTCTCATCGGCTAATGTGTGGTATTCTAATCCGACTCTCCCTAGCACTTGCTCCTGCTCAAACTCAGATGTAAAGTGTGCACAGTAGAGGAACAAAACCAAATGAAAGCCCTCTGCAAATGGAGACATCAAGGAGCAGAACAATAGAGCTTAATTCTTCCAGCACTTCACAGATGCAAGACATTTGGCTGCAGGTCATGGACCATGAGCTCTGATATCCCAGCACTTTTTCTCCCTCTGTGTAGCCTTGCAACAGCTACGGGTCCCTCTTAAGATTCTGAAATGTGCCTCGTAGCCATCTTAACTAAAGAGGCAGGGCACCATGGCACAACGTATTGGGGTGAGGAGTACGCATGCTGCGAAATGCACGCGTTAGGGCTTTCACGTCTGTTTTGCACAAGGGGAGAAAAAATCAATGTATGCCCTCATTTCATGGGCAAGAGGTCTTCCTTTAACAGAAGGTTAATTTTTATGTCATTTAAGTAAATGAAGATGGGAAAAAATGATCTACTCAGACTTCAGTTGGCAATGCCAGCAGAGTGGGCAATAAAAAAAGTGGCAGAAGTGAATCACTGATGGAAGGTATGAAGTTCTGGGCAGGGAGCCTGGGAGAGACAAGCTTTCTACACGTTGGAGGCCAAACTGTGACTACAGCAATATTTATAATATCCCTCATGCAGCACATTAAAGGGAAGGCAATTAATTCTGGTATGCTCAATCTCAAACTCTTCTGTCTCTCTTTGCCTAGTTTTATAATCTTAGGGGCTTATTCCCAAGATGCCAAGAACTCTTAGAAAAAAAAAGAGTCCATCCAGTTAACTTCATGAACTGCTTGATTTTATTAGAGATGCATGTTGACCAGGAGTGACAGCTGTTTGGGAATCAGAAATAGGCCCTTGCTGGGGTTCTGTCCAAGACTTTTGGGAATTCCTGATTCATGACTACAATTATTGAGCCGTGCATAAAATCTTCCCCATAAAGTGCAGTGAAATGTAACAGAAAGCCATACTGCACCAAGAGACAAGTCGCTGTTCTTTCTAGAGAGCTTTCACAGGCAGATGAACAGGAAACGAGAAGCCTCAAGGTGATGGAAGGGCTGGGAGTTGGCGTGCTGGATTCCTCACTTTACTATAGTCTTCGAGGTGTGTGCTTCAGCCAAAGGAGGAATTACGGCACGTAATTGGCCTTTGGATCATTTTTGATCTTCCAAGCTATAGCCCTGATTTATCTGCTTCTCTCCAGCCAAGTCCAAACCACTGTAATCCTGGCTCTCAGAAAAAGAACACCTTCCTCACTGGGCCCCCTCCGTCCACTGCTGCCTGCCCCTCCCCTTGTCCTGACAGAGTAGCCCCGGTGACCTTCCCACACCATACATGTTTCGTCCTGCCTCTGCCCTTCATCTTGTATCACTGCCCACCTCCCTCACTCCCACCTTTTCTGTTTCATCAAGATCGATTCCCCAATAAGGCCTTTGCATTTGCTGTTCCCTCTGCATGAAATGCTTTTCCCTCTGTTTTTTCACATGACTTCTCATCCTTCAGGTCTCAGCACAAATGTCATGTCTTCCGAAAGTTCTTCCCTGCTTGGCCATCTTATCTAAAGTGAGGACCACTGTCCCCCATCACTTCACTTTGGTTTCTTCTATTCCCCTTTTTCTTGAGATTTATTACCATCTGTGATTATTGATGTATGTGTTCATGTGTGGTCTTTGCAACCAAATTCTCAGCTCCCTGGGGGTCAGGAAATCTCTATCTGATTTATCATGTGACTCCCCTGTACTAGCACAGTGCCTGGCACATAGTACCCACTTGGTAAATACTCATCAGACAAACGCATGAATTCACAAATAGCCCAAACTCCGATCCCACAAACATGAATACCGACTCCGCTGAGGTGTGGTCACTCACAGGAAGCCTTCTCAGGCCCCACTCTGTCGGAAGCTCCATATCGGTTAGTGACATTGCCCTCTCAGTGGAGGCTGACAGTTCTCCCATTTAAACACAACATGATTATTCACAGCATTTTCACCGTGTTTGGTTGATGGGAGATGGTGTATATATAATAATCACCACTCTTCAGTGGTGAGGAAGTGGGAGGATTTCACTAAAACTAAGTTCCTAACAGATTGCCATGACCTACTGGCTATTTCCAATACTGAATCTTCCAAGTGAAAAGAGTATGTGGCAAATTCAAGTGCCTTGATTTTGAATGGCTGTATGTTGAAGACCTGCTGTCTTCCACCAACTTATGTCATGTTTCAGGGAAGAGATTTGGTCCTAGCAGCGGCCTTTTGAAGCCATCCACTTAGACCCTGTTATGCATGGAGGAAAATGCACTCAAAAGTGATGTCATGTGTTTATGTCTATAACATGAATGTTGGTTTGCATAGGAGCCTCTTCATAAGTTAGAGCCAATGATTGTTGCCCAGTGCAATTTTCTATCTACTGATTACAGCTTTATCAAGTATAATGCACTAAGGTCAGGTGCCATCAAGAGGAAAATGTAATTCTTTGGGGGAAAATACCACTTTATAATTATTTTTATTGTCAAATGAATGCAAGTGTGATTCAGTAACCTGGAGAATGTTCTTAAACTAGATTCTATAAAAGTCATTTTTCTTTGCGTAGACAGAAGGCGAGATTCACTGTGATCTTAACATTTCTTTTGACATAGATTTTAAAAGTTAATTGCCAGGAAAACTTCTTCAAATCTGCTCTCTGGACAAATTATCGGTAGTTTCCACCTGGGATCGAGACCGGCCTTGGGCTCCTTGCTCGGCAGGAAGCCTGCTTCTCCCTCTCCCACTCCCCCTGCTTGTGTTCCCTCTCTCACTGTGTCTCTCTCTGTCAAATAAATAAAATTTTAAAAAAAAATTTAAAAAAGATAAAATGATGAAAATGTTTCACTTGGCTTTATCCCTTTTTCAGCTCAGGCAAATAACTCACAATTGTATGGAATGATGGTACTGGTGACCCAGCTCCATTCATATCAGACTAGCGAGACAGTATAGGGTGATGTGTTCTAAATGGGAAACCTGTGTAGAAAGCAAATGAAACAGCATCAACTTTGGGTTATAGTGATGAGAGGGGTCTCACCTTTCCCTTTGGCTAAGTTTCTGTTGTATCCAACAGGACTGAAGTACTCGAAGACAAAAACAGCAATGGCAGACACAATGAGCAGCATCACAAACATCATCACCCAGACGGAGGCGCTGAACGGTTCTGTGGGTGAACAAGCCAGAGGAGTGGGACATGGTCAGTTGGCACATCCTCACAACCAGGACCAGCAGGAAGCCCAGAGGTCCACTTGCAGGCTCAACTGAGAAACCCTCCCTGACATGAATCTGATAATTCAAAAGAAGCTAGTCATTGTGGATTCATACGTCTACACCATCCTTCGTTCTAAAAATACTTGAGGTATTTTATAAGGCTGCATATAATAGGATAAAAATAGAGAAGAGCATATGACATTTTCCAAATCGGGTCAAGGATAGTAAAAACAAATGGGAGAAAGAATACAAATAAAGAGGCCATCTGGTCCTATATGATTATTGCATCATCCAGGGGACCAAGGCTGGAGGAAGCAAGGGACTAGACCCAAATAGTCAATCCTAAGGCTTCTGCAGATCAGCATGGGTTTTATTCTTAATTTCATTTTCATCCTTACATGCTGGAGGGATGATGGGCAGGGAATTCTAGAAGGAAAGGTAACATTACAACCTGTTAGAAAAGGATCATAAAATCATGGGGTTGACAGCAATACTGGAAGGTCATCGTCTGCCCCCACTACTACCACGCTGCCCACCCTGCCCTCTGCTCTGGACAGATGAGATCTCTACAAGTTTAAAATCTTGTTGATGTTGGTAATGGGCTTAAATGCATTTGAAAAGTCATTTGAGAATATTACATTCACATGGTAATTCAATGAAAAAGCATCGCTTAAAGAGTAGAGGCAATGAAGTAGTAGATGGATAGGTGGTTACTCCCTCCCCTACCTCCCCACCCCCTGCCCACCGAAGTAGTTTACATCAGCTTATTTTCATATGGACATCTCAGCAGGGCAGGCCAAGTCACAAGGTTCTAAATCTTAGAACACTCCAGAAAGTTAAGAGCATTTATATTCAGTCTGATTGAGGGAGCTGAATGGAGCCACTGTATCCATATATGACACATATTTGCTAGAAAATCAACAGAGGCTAAAATTTTGAAAAATGAATCTATCTCCACCTGAATGCATCACTGGGAAGAAACTGCCCTTGGATACCAATAAACTTATAATCCTTTGCCTCATAAGCAAACGTTTTCTGAGGGTAAAATATAAGAAGCCCAATAACACCTCTTGAATAGTAGACATTTTATTATTTTTAAATTGTTTTTCTGATGGAGCTAGTAATAATCATAAAGAACTAGGCTGGTTGCAAGCCACCTTATCATTAAAGTCTGTGACTACCTAACACAGCTAGAGGTCATCATAAATTCCAATTTAATGAGCTTACTACATAACCAGAAACTGATATGTCCGAAGCTTTAACTACACTGGATAATTTAGAAACCGGAAGGAATGCTTTGCAATGCAGCTTCGACAGTGCAGATATGTTAAAAAGGAACAGGTAACAACATAGCCTACTCACTTTGAATAACACAAGATGAGTTCAAAGAAATCAATGAGATTGCAACCATAACATATCTTTGTTGAAATTACCTTGGGTAGTAACAATACTATGTCCCTAAAATCATTGCAATTTGGTAATAAGGTGTTTCCAAAAAGGAGAATGAAATGAATAATTAGGGGATTAAAAATAATGAATATTCAAGATAGGAATAAATAGTAAAATAATTCTCTAAGTCGGGTATAGTTAATGGCATGGTGTATCTTACCAGAGGAGGATCACCATGAGGAGTCAATGAGCATAGACATTGAAAGTGCTTGGTGGTGTGTGTTGCACACTATACATGTAGTGAATTAAATGGAATAGTTGTTTGATTCCATGGTTAAAGCCAGAACCAGGGGTGGTGGTGGTGCGCTGTTCAGGGTCCTGAAAAAGGCACCCTGGTTTAAAACATGCGCGTTTATTAATCTGGTAACTTCTTTTCTCTGCAGGTTGGGATAACATGATAAAAAATATGAAGGGGCATCCTTTCTGAATTCTTCATTCTCACGTCAGAGTCTATAAATGTGCAGTGGGCTTCATTTGGCAGCTGATGCATCCTAGTGAGGACACAAACTGTTCCAGAAATTAGGTGCAAGCCGGATCAAGCAACTGATCCCAGGTATCTTCCCACTTGGAAGTGACATCTGTCCCTTGATTTGTGAGCATGGCATGGGGATAAAATAATTCGGCTACAGTGTTCTGGTTTTAATAAGTTAGGTACCTAGGAGTGCCCTGAAGGGTTGCTATTCTCACATACACCACCACCACCACCACCACAATGTAGAAAAACATTGGAATAATGGTGAAGCACCATCTATAGTGTCTCAGGAGGGACCCAGAAATATTTTGGGTGGCTCTGGATTATATCCTCTACTGGTTTAAAGCAGATACCACATTCATTCATGAAGGGACTTCAATCTAGGAGACTCTGGTCAGCATTTCTTTGGATCAAACAATCCAATCTGCTTGGAAAGTCTTTGAAAGTAACTGAATGGAAATATCCAAGAGATGCCACCTCTGTCCTTGAAGAGCTGCTGGTTACATTTTTACACAGAAGCTCAGAGGCATTACCTGCAAGTGTTTCCAATGGGAGTTAATGGAGTTTGTGGAGAGAGGATAGGAAATAATGAAGAGCAATGCAATCAGATTTTGAATGTTTGGGCTCTTCCAGATGACTGAGCCAGTGAATGGAAAAATGTAGTTTAGCGTAGTTCATTATGACTTTCAAAACCTGCAGATAATGACCGTAAATAAGGGGGTGCACAATCCAATAGGGATGTAATTTAGTGACTAGAAAAAATATTAAGCCTACTGATGTCAAAACAGCTTTGAAAATAGCTTCCTCTGGCTACAATGTATTTTATTTTATTTTTAAAGATACAGTAGGAAGAGTAAGGGGGGAAAGGAGGCCTTAACTCCGCAAAAAATACCTGACTTTTTATAGCAATGTTCTATGAATCCAGGTAAGATAAAAATCTAGGGGAAATTGGGTTGAGGCCAGATTCGATATCAGTGACTCAATTTTTTTATGAGCCAAGCCAACTGATGGTATTTTTTTCCCTCTCTGATTGAATTGGAAAAAAAGTTCTCTCTAGCTCACTATGCAGATATGTCAACAACTTGTGAAAAGAAACAGATCTCTTGGGGCACCCGGGTGGCTCAGTCAGTTGAGCGTCCGACTCTTGATTTCGGCTCAGGTCATGATCTCATGGTCATGAGCTGGAGCCCCGCATCAGGCTCCACGCTAGATGTGGAGCCTGCTTGGGAGTCTCTCTCTCCCTCTGCCCCTCCCCCTACACATTCTCTCTCTCTCTCTCTCTCAAAGAAAAAAAAAGGAAAAGAAAAGAAAGAAACAGATCTCTTTCCATTCTTTCCCTGAACTCACTTCTTCCAACCTTTTCTTAACCTCCAGGGCCAAAGAGCCCTGTTGAAAGGTCTGCTAGGGAGTGGGAAACCGTGAAAAGGAGTGGCTCACACATGAGGGTCCACCCAGTCATTAAGATTCTGCATGTATTGTCTATATCAGTCGGCTGCATTTTTCATGGTGTTGTGAGGCTCCCTGATCGAGATATGGGTCCATTATCCATATCAAAGACACAAAGGGAACATAATGAAGTGTGTATCTGTCAAGAATGGAAGCGGGGAGTGCAACATCAAATTCAGGGAGTGGTAAGGATTTCAACAGCTTAAATGGATTATCAAAAATGGAAATAGCAGGGGTGCCTGGGTGGCTCAGTCGTTGGGCGTCTGCCTTCGGCTCGGGTCATGATCCCGGGGTCCTGGGATCGGGCCCCGCATCGGGCTCCCTGCTCCGCGGGAGGCCTGCTTCTCCCTCTCCCACTCCCCCTGCTTGTGTTCCCTCTCTCGCTGTATCTCTCTCTGTCAAATAAATAAATAATCTTTAAAAAAAAAAAAATGGAAATAGCAAATCCATACATCTCTGTGAGTGAGGCGGTATCCAAAATCCTGTTCGTCAACGTTTCACTCAAGAGAATAAAGCACAGACGGCTTCACTGGATGCCACCACGACGTACCAATGAAGATTGTGGGGACGCAAGACTACAGGCTGGGAGCCGGTAGCCACAAAATGGCTCTAGTCTGCAAGAGCAAGCTCTCTAATAGACAAAGGTTCTTGTGTGTGTGTCTGGAAACGTGTAAGAAATTTGGCTGACTTTGATCTGTGTCCCCTTTCTCTGCAGTTTTCTTTTGGGGTCAGTGTTCGCCTTAGCCTTCCCAAATCTGGGACAAGCCCATGGATGCAGGGGTGCCAAGGAGAAGGGAATTTGAGTCCCACGATCTTCAAGGTAGCCACTCTCAAAAACTGTTGATGATAACCAAACACTCTACCGATACTTTCCTTTAAAGAAAAAAAAAAATAATGCTTGGCTCTGTCCCATGCAGTTTCTCCCTCTCTGGACAGGCATATACATACAGTGCTAAAGAAAACAGGATGATAGAAAGTAGAGTCTACCTTGCTCTAAAAAAAAAATGCTTTTATGTCAAAACATGAATTTATGAAATAGTTAAAAGGAGAGTAAGGAATTTTCTCCCTTACAAACCAGTCCGCTTGAAGGACAGTCACATTTAAAATATGATTCCATTAATTTTCAATCAGTGTGTGCTCTTCAGACTACCTGTATTTTGTTTATCCGAGTGCTGGTATGAATCACCGTGTGGTCATCATCATTTCACCCTCATATCCAGTAAATAAGTGGCTGTCATGCCAGGGAAGAATGGAGGATGGGATTGAGGTTGCTGAATAAAGGCTTAGAGGCTGATTTAAATTAACTGTGGACAGGTATATTTATTTTTTTAAATGTTTTCCAGGCTCTGAGACCTATACCTGCTAATCTCCATTCTATACAATCAAGGCCAGTATCTGAATATGCGATTGTGTTTTCAGCAGATAGTTCCGAGTCAGAGATAAATGACAGATGTTAACTGGGGGTTGGGGGCTGGGGAGGGAATTGAGATCATTCAAACAGGACAGGCTTTGGAATGTGCTGATGTCATTACATAGAGCTCACCAAGGTCCTACCTGGTTCCATCCTTTGAGGAAACAAGACAAATACCTCTAATTCCCTGTTAGGAAAACAGTGGTGACCCTGACGTCCACATACCTAGAAAAGCAGAAGGCGAGACCGTGCCATTGCTTCTCGAAACCATGACACTGATCCCCGTCTCCACAAAGGGCACGGAGAAGTCCACCACTTCCGAGCGCTCCTCGTTGATGGTGAGTGAGCCGACCGCCATGACCGCCCGTTGGTAGACCACCTATATGCAAGGCAAAGGAGCACAGAGCCTTTACTTGTCCTTCCCACCATCCCCCCAAGCGCCACAGGCGTGGAGTCTTGGATGAGAGCCCGAGGGAGGAAGATAACTTACTTCGCCAATCATCCCGTTCCATACATTGTTGACTTTCTTGCCATGCTTCCCGTTAGTCACCAGGTAAAGGTCATAGGTGAACTTCACAGTGCGAGAAAGCTTCTTCAGGATATCGATGCAGAAACCCTTGCAGCATTTCTTAACATTCATGCCCTCATTGGTTGAATTGCTGTAGAAAAAATCCCCGAGACCGTAGAATATCAGCACTGGAAGATCTGTTCACAATTGTTACCTAAGACACTTCCACTGTTTTCCATGTGGGAAACGGAGGCTCAACATGAGGGAGTGGCTTTTTCAAGGACAGGCAGTAGTTCATGTCAGCAGAAGGACAAAGTGTTCTTAATTGTGACAGTAACCATGACAACGGCTAACTTTAATTGAGTGATTATTTGTACCGTGTACCATGCTTCATGGTAATTCTTGAAATAAATTCCATGGCATTTCTCTTAGTTAATAGGAACTGTTTCCCCATTATACGGATGAGAGTTACTACCTCTTATTTTTAAGTTTATGACACCTAAAGCCTCTTTAGACCAGAGTTCAGGCATATGATCTAAGCCAAATTATAAAAGCTTATCAGAAAATGGAAGAGAGATGGAGGACATGAAATTCTCAGCTGAAGGAGGGTTTTGCTTTTTCCTATCACTGGAGATAGAGGTTTGCAACCAAAGATAAAGAAGGGTGCCTTCTTTAGGAAAGGCACTTTCCTTCCTGAGGAAAACGTGGCTGAGAACTGGAAGACCCGGGGCCTACCTTGTGCCTGAGTCCATGAACTTAATGTGTCTTGATGGAGTCATCTGTCAGATGAGTGCTCCTTCATAACACTTTCCCTCCCTCCCTACATAGCAGGAAGTATAAAAAGTTGACACTATGAAATAGCAATGTCCTTGATCAAGAAAAAGCCCTATTAAAATATAGAAGGTACTGGCATCTTAAAAGCTATCATCATCTACCAAGGTGACATAGGTTGATTTTTGCCAGCCACCTTGCTTTATTTACCTGGCCAAGTCATAGTCGAAGGACGTATAAAAATCAGAAATGTCTTTAAAAAGGAAAGAAAGAGGGTCTTCCAAATTAATAGCTGCTACTTAGACAACTCATGTAGGAAGGTCAAGACCTCTCTGGGCAACACAGCTGGTCCACCTTGTGATGGGGCATTTATTGAGCTCAACAACCTGAGTCATGCATGTCATGACATACGTGCTCTGGATATCCCATTGCTGGTGCATCCACACACCAGACCGTTACCTAAGCACTAAAATGATGTTTATGGAAATCCAACATCACAATAGGAAAATACTTGCATTTCCATATCACAGGAAAAAAAAAAGTAGGTTACAAAGTGTTCCATATAGAACAGTCCTAGCTATATAAAAACAGATGAGCTTATGAAATATCTGGATGGAAAAACAATGAAATATGAAGCGTAGCTATTTTTGAAGGGTGAAAATAACTTTTTCTCTTTTTCATATTTTTAGTTTTTTTTTTCCCCCCACAAATTAACTGCAGTGAATATATACTACACATATAATTAGATATACACACACACATCAAGCACCACTGATGTCCATCTATGCCCAGGAACATGGGTAGATCTGACAGTGTGACTTCGAGTAATGGCAGCAGGTTGCAAAATGCCATAAACATGATAGAAATGTGTCCTAAGTACATTAAGTCAATGGCATGTCCAAATACGATTTCCTTCTCAGTATCTATCTGTGGCCCATTGTAAAACATGGCAAGAGCCAATTCTCTTTTTTTTTCCTGGCCACCATGGGCCACGCATTGATGCCTCTTCTCCAACTCTTCCCATCTGCATCTCCTTTGCTCTCTGCTTCCTCCCTTCTTTTATCACAGGGCCTTCCTTCCCCTGGTCAGGATTCCTGGGAGAGTCTGGATAGGAGTTATGAATGCCCCAGACTTAAGATTCAGGGTCACAGGCACATGGTGGTATTCTTTGGCCTCACTGAGAACCTCAGCCAGTTAATGAGTTAATTATCTCCCCTTGTCTTCTAAAACTAGGTGTATGTCTAGATACAGGTATATGTCTAGATACAGTGATCATTAATGCATTTTCACCCAACAAGCAACCACTGAGTACCTACTGTATGTAAGACATGGAATTAAATCCTGGGGACATGAGATGAAAAGACACGCAGCAAATGCAACAGACGAATTTCTCATGGGGAAGATGGGAACACAGACCAGCTTGTAATTGGAAACTTCCATCAGTTCCAATCACAGCCCTTGTGTATGTGTGGAGGGGGGTGTGACTTGACTACACAGACATCTGAGAAATGGCGCCCAATGCAATCTTTCTCCACACCCCACTATCACCACAAGAAAGGGTGACCCATAAAAGCCAATGTGGGGAAAAAGATCCAATAAGGAGTCCAGTTCTTCAGCTCCCTAGTTTCCCAGTGTGGTCAGTGGATAGGATCACAGCCATGGAGGTCAGACAGAGCCGCTGCGAGGTCCTGGGTCTGCTCCTAACAACCAGGAAGATGCAGACAAGTCTCTTCACTAATGAGTCTCAGCTTGTTCCCTTGCAAATTGAGAAGGCTGGTGCTTACCTTGCAGGACAGTTGGGGAGATTAAATAAAATAAAGTATCTAAAGCACCTCTCACATAAGTGCTTAAAAATACACTTCCTCTCTTCTCACTGACCATCTGACAGTGGGGGATTAATCGACAGTGTGGCCATTTTTCCTAACGTATCAAGCCAGATCATTTTTCCTCGATTTTCTCTTCACGCCTTAACACCCAACTAACAGATGAAAAGGAATGCTTGATTTCTCAGCTCATTTTCTGTTTCCTGTTTTTAGAACACCGATGTGTGTCCTAAAGACCCCATCATTCACCAAAAGTGAGAGACAAAGGGTTTTCCCTGGGAGAATATCACCAAGAAAAATATAACCATGTTACCTAACAGAATCCTTCTTAGAACGAATCAGCCTGCCTCAAAGAAATGCAATTGATCTGATCTGTGTTAATATTGGGATGAATGGGTCCCAGCGATTGCCTATGGCTTTCAAAGACTTTAATGTCGCCTAGGTGTGCAGTAAACTTGTCATGTTGCCAAGTGGGAAAAGAGAAGCTACAAGCCCGCCACCTCCCACAGGAACCAAAAATGTGAATTTGAACCTGTTAATCTGTTTATAGTCTCCAGTAAAAAAGTCAGTTCTTTGAAAGAGAGTAATTTATTGGGGTGAGGGGTTCATTTTCTCCATTCAAATGTAGCTCAGGACTCGCTGACCTACTGTTGTCAGCTCCGAGCCTTCTGATTTTAAAGATTTAAAGCTCCTATTATTGACTGTGAAGCCCCAGAGGCTCTACTTGATTGGCCCCATCGAAACAAGGAAGGCACTCTTGTCATAAAGGAGGAGCCTCTACTGAGGTAAGAGTCTTCGCTTTGTGCCATCCACCCTGATTTCTTCATCTGCCCAAGTGGTGCTCAAAGAACACCCACCCAAATCAAAATCTCTTTGGACAACTTTCTCACATTTACCCCTTCCGTCTCCCACCCAGCTCATCACTCTCAAGCACCACCCTGGGTTTCCTTCTGTTTCCCACACTTGCCAATCTCTTTCCTCCCTCAGGGCCTTTGTACCTGCTCTTCTCTCTACCTGGAAGGCTCTCCCCCCATTCTTCACATGTTCATCATCCTTTTCTACATCGTCTTACAACTCACCTCTGTGAGCTAAAGGAGCCCCACGTACCTCAAGTTACTCTTGCCTCACACCACCTTATTTATATTCCTTCACAAGGCTTATCATAACATGGAGCTGTCCTGGTCTTTTATTGGCTGAATTTTTTTTTTAACTGTGTACACTCCATATTGCAAGATCCCCATCTTTTGTCTTCTCTGTTCCCTGATGTATCCTGCGTGCCCCGCACTGTGCCTCACACATGAACTGTGCTTCATGTTTATTTACTTATTGACTAATCTATTCAGAATTTCAACTCCAACGAGGCTCCTCATTGATAAAAAAAAAAAAGAAAAATCTTCTCCAAACTACAAATGTGCCTTCATAACACATTTTGCAATCATATTTTTAAAAAATGATCTTTATCCCAAGCACTGAGCTCTTGGGATTTGCATCTCATATAATGACTTATGTTGGAATTTGGGATGCGGGAGGACTGGTTTCCATTCACTCATGTGTTTAAGCATTATCAACATTGGTGGGACCCGTTTCGTGCTTGTCCCTGGGCATACAAAGACTAGTAAGCCACGTTTCCAATATTTAGGCGGCTCACAGTCCAGGGGGAAAGACAAACTATAAGCCATAAAAGCAGGTGATAGAGGGATCGAGGGGTATGCACTGAATGTTTGAGTTCCTTCAAAGTCATGTGTTGAAACCTTAAACCCCAATATGATGGCATTAGGAGGTGGGTCCTGTGGGAGGTCATGAGGTCAAAGGGTAAAGCCCTCATGAGTGGGATGAGTGCCCTTAGAACAAGATAGGAGAGCTTGCTTCCTTTCCGTCTGCTCTCCACCACAGGATGACAGCAAGAGAAGACAGCTGTCTGCACATCAGATGCCCCGCCGGTGGGCTCCCAGCCCTCAGAACTGTGAGAAATAAGTGTCCCTTTTTTTAAGCCATGCCGTCTGCGGTGACTTGTCACAGTAGGCTGCACAGACTAAGGCACAGAGACATACCCAGAGTTCTGTGGAAGGAGGGACGGTAAACCCAACTTGGGGAGGGACTTAAAGGACGTGGCAGAATTAGCCAGATGAATGGAGGTGCTTGGAAAATACTGGCAAAAATACTTCATGGGAGGCCTCTTCCTTTCGTGAAAATCCCCACGAGGGCGTGTTTTTCTTTGTGTTTGTACTAGAAAGACTAGAATCAGGGCCTTGGACTTTGTCATGAAGCTTTAGGCTTCCCCTCAAGGGTGATAGGTTAGGGACAAAACTTCACCAGGAGCTCTCACAAAAACTGTCAGTTCTTCCTTCGGTCATTAATAAAAGAGGAAATGGCACAGCTGTGACACTGGCTTGCTGTCGGTGAGCGAGGAGACAACCAGGAGGCCAGGTCCACACTGATCACAGCACACAGCCATACGGAGCGTGCACCATGACCCCCAGCTGGAAAGACGTTTCCAAAGTTTTTGAAGAGTTTGTATTTGGGATATATAAAAAAGATGGAAGGGAGGAGATGTGCAGGATTGGAGGAGGGAGCAGTCAGAAAAATAAAATATATATATATTTTTAAGGTGAGACCGAAGGGGAGGGTTGTTTGAGCACAGGGGTTAAGAATATGGCGGTGGAGTCAGATGGATGAGCATCTTGAGTCCTAGCTCGTCCATTTATGAGCTGAACGGCTCTGAGCATGGTTCTGAATCTCCCCAGAACTGTTTAAATATCTAAAATGGGCAAAGCCACTTACCTCCTATTGCTGTTGCTGGAATTAAATAAGTGTAAACCACCTGGCATAATTCCAGTTATTTATTTAAGTCTTAAAAAAATCTAACATTATAGATTATCATCTAGTATTAGAATAGCCTATTTTATATTACACTTTATTAGGATATTTTGGATACCGTTGTTGATGATACGTGCTATTTTTAAAGGACTGGGTGTATTCAAGCGACAGCATCCCTGGACTTACTTGATTTTGACGAACTTCCGACATGGCACGGTGTTCCTCACGCACGTCTCGGTCAGCGGGTCTATGTCTTCCACGATGACAAAGGGGGCCTCCTCCAGGGTGACGATGCTCAGATGGTTGTCGTCTGGCTCACAGTCTGAAAAGGATTTGTACCTCGGCCACACGGCGTGCCTCAGGCTCAGGGTGTGGTTCTCCCACTTTCCCACCTGCATCAGAAAGACAAAGGCAGACCTGTGTTTTCTTGCAGCGCCGACTTCTAGAAGGGCAAGTCCTTCCCCCATATGAGGTCCGAGACAAGAACCCTACCCATCTTGAGGGCTTTTCTGCTACCTACCTCAACATACGCTTCTCTTTATATGCTAAGAAAAATAGGGATAAAGGGAAAGCAAAGTACTGGGTGGGCCCCATGCCCTGGCTTCTCCCCTGCTAATTAATATGGCTGTGGTGCCCACACACTGAGATGGGTAGAGCTCCCCAGGTGATCCTAATGTTCTGCCAGAGTTCGGGACCACTGAGGTCTCAAGGGAAGCATGGACTTTTAGAATCAGAGAAGTCTAGGCTGGGATCCCCACCTCTGCCACTTACTAGCTACAGAAACCTGGGCAAGCTCTGAACCACTGTGAATGTCTGTTTTCTCCTCTGTAAACAGCACCACTCCACCTACTTTACAAGGATGTTGTGGCAATTAAATAATACAGTCTGTGAGCAGCAAACAGCACCATGCCCAGCACATAGTAGGGACTCCATACTTTCTAAGTGTAGGAGAGATGCAAGGAGAAGGAGAAATTTTTAAAAGATGCTAAGGGAGGGCGCCTGGGTGGCTCAGTTGTTAAGCATCTGCCTTCAGCTCAGGTCATGATCCCAGGGTCCTGGGACTCCCTGCTCAGCAAGGAGCCTGCTTCTCCCTCTCCCACTCCCCCTGCTTGTGTTCCCTCTCTTGCTGTGTCTCTCCCTGTCAAAAAAATAAATAAAATCTTAAAAAAAAACACAAAAGATGCTAAGGGAAAGAGTGTGCAGAGAAGAAGATGACGTGAAAGAGCAAAAAGGCAGGAGGATTGACAGGAGCGTCAACACGAGGAGGACGCGCGGGAGAGGAAATCAGGAGCATCATTTCCAGCTCAGATCATGGTTCTATTTAAGTTGCAAATTAAGGTGAACTGTTATTAATCCGGCTCGGAGCAGAGACTTTCAGTGCTTAGCGTGCACCAAGACCTGTCAAAATAGAATCGATCTGTTCCCTCCGAGCAGCAGTCCTCATGTTAGCGAAATCAAATTGAAGGCTGTATGTTTTGAACCTTAATTTTATTTGACAGCTTATTGGCACTATTCATATACACCCTGGGAGAAAGCTGCTCCCAGCATCGCGCTTCTTCCTTCCTCCCGCTCCCCTGTGCAATTGCTTGACACCACAGGTCAGCGCTTATTTGTAATACCAACCTCAAGGAAGCACCTCATCTGAAAAGCTAAGTGCCGAGTTCAGGCTCGTCTGTGTTGATGTGACCCACTCACCTCCCCTCCCGTAATGTGAGTGTCGCCAGAAATGAATTTCAAGCCCGTAAAGAGAATTCAGACATGCTGGACACCCAAAGAGGTGATGGGGTGGCAGCAGAAAAGGCAGACAGTGCGCTCTCAGACCGCCTTGGAAAACGTTTGCTGTTTATAGTGAAACATTCCATGTGGCCAATTACAGAACTGCCCAGCATCACCAATCCCTTCCTTTTTAAGATAGGAAGGGCCGTAGAAGAGTTTGGTCAAATAAACATGCTCATCTACCAATGTCGTGATGTGTAACACAGGCTGGGGAGAATGCTGAGCCCGTCAAATTGCTCATTCACTCAATGCGGATTTACTGAACACCAGCTATGTGCTGGTACTAGCCCGGGAGCAATGATGGATAAAACTGAATGGTTCCTGCCTTCTTGGAACCATCAGTCGGCTGCGGGACAAAGACTAAACTAATAATAAATAAGCAAGTTAGAAAAAAAGAGAGAGCCAAGCTTTTCCTTTTGGGACGTTACCTCAGTTCCTTTTCCTTCCACTTCTCTCGGAAAACTCAAACCTTCGAGAGAGGCTGGGTAGTTCAGTTGGTAAGAGAATGGCTTTTGGAGTCACGTAGAACTAAGTGCCGATGCCGGCTTCACTCGTTTAGCTGAGTGGCCTCGGGAAAGTGACTTAACCTCTCTGAGTTTTATGTTCTCTCTCTACAAAATGCAGATAGCAACAGGACATGCCCTTAAGAACTGTAGTGAGCTTCCGATGAGGCAAAATGTTTAGGAAGCATTGAGCACAGAACTTAGCGTGTAACATACATGGTAGCTGCTGTTATTTTATTATTGTTGTAGTTCGCATTTAAGACTTAGCTCAAATATCACCTAATCTGTAAAGGCATACCTGCCTTCCCTAGTAATATAGAACTCTGCACCTGTCCACCACAGCTCTTTGATGCTATCATTATAACAGTGTCATTTTTGAGCACTCCTGTGTCATCAGGAAATGTATATATCACCAGTGACTTTGATGCCCACAAATCCCAAGGGTAAGGATTAGTCTTCCAACTTTGCAGTTCAGAGAATGGAAGCACAGAGACATATAAACTGTCCAAATGCAGCTGGGAAGCCATGGAACCAGAGCCATACCACAGGGCTGTGTGAACCCAAAGGTGCTTCTATTAAGTCATCCAGATTTTGCACCGTTATAGCTCAAAGACCCTTCCACCCCTGGAGAGACAGCTCCTGGGAAGCCCCCGGAAACATAAATTAAGGCAAAGACCATTTAGCCAGCACTATCTTTGGTGACGTCATTGGCCACATCACTGTACCCTACACCGTGAAGTCAGGCGAAGGTTCCCGTCCAAGACTGACTCCCAGGAGAGAGGCAGCAAAGGTGTATGGGTTCCTGGAGTGTAGTAACTCCCCAAGTCTCTCCTAAGTTATGCTCTCCCTTCCCATGTCTAAGTAATCACCCAGTGGGTCGGCCGAGGAGGGTGGAAGCAAGTGGTGGGTGGAAAAACAGAGCCAAATCCCCAAGTCCCCAAATCCCCGCTCCAGGATTCTATATACCACATGGGGAAAAGAGACTTTCCCCTCCTCTGTGCATTTTCACAAGGGGCTCTAACTGAGTCAGTCCAGCGCTTGTAGACAGAATTAAGAGAGATTCATTTGCTTCCTAAGTATTTATGGAGTGGCCACTAGGTGTCAAGCATGGAATTAGGCACCGAGGAGACTGGAGAACATGCAATGAACTTTTTCCCTGCATGGAATTTTTATGCTAATAGGGAAGACAGACATGAGTCCAATAGTCACACAAAAATACATCATACAAACTGGGTGGAAGAAAGAAAACAATGGGTCTAAGAGAGCAGACGGGAAAGAAATCACAGAGGGCTTCCCTGAGGAGGTGGCATTTGAGCGGAGATGGGAAATCCCAAGTTGAGTGGGTGAGGGGCTGCGGGAGTGAAGGGAAGGGAAAGCACCCCATGTAGGCAGGGGTTGGATGATGCAAAGCTTTGCAGGTCCTCGTAAGGAGCTGAGATTTACCCTATGAGTTCATCCAGTCTGTTGGCCAGGAGGGAAAGGCTGGATGGAAGTGACCAGGGATATATGTCCATATGTAACCTGCCTGAAGGAGGAAGCTCTGTGCTCCCTCAGTGCATCTTTGTCTTCTCTTTCATGATGAAAAATTTTAAACTCCTACAAAAGTGAAACAGTATAATGAATCTCCATGTTCCCATTATCTAGCTGCAATAATTACTAACTCATGGCCAATCTTGTTTCGTTTATATTGCCACCCACTTCTCCTGTATCACAGTGAAGGAACTCCCAGACATGGTAACATTTCATTCATAAATCCTTAATTCGATTTAAATATCTAATCTCTATTTGCTTAATAGCATTATACCTCCACGAGCTATGTGTTTCGCTGATTAGATTAGGATTCCCCCATCTAGGAGGGATTTTATGCAGACACCAATTGGTTTCGAGGTCCGCAGCTTCTAACTCAGGGCCTGGCACAAGGAGGGACTTAATGGACAGTTATTGATGGAATGAAGGAACACGCGACCTGAATTTTTAAAAATATCCATGAGTCAGAACATACTAGTAGACTGATCGATGTGTCCATATTGGCCTCAGCTATGGGATCTTGTGCCCTAAGCACAAAACTGAAGTACAAAAACCTCTGTTCTCTCCCTCGCTCATGCTTCACTTCGAATTCGGCCCCCCAGACACAGAGCCATTGAGAGTGACTATATTACATGTTCCAGACGGAGCCAAGACCACCATGTCAATGCCAATTTAAAAGGGGCTGTGGTCGCTCTGAGGGGTTCAAGAGAATGGCAAGCTTCAATGGAATAAACCATGAATTGAGAAGAAACTTCAGTCACACCATCTCTGCTTACCTCGGTGTCCCCAGGCACTAAATGGGCACAGAATATGAATGCTCCATGTGCCTTTCTCTAAAGGTCATGTCCAAGACAGAAGAACCACGTGCCCTCTGAGGACCGTAGCGATCAATCTCTCTCCCTGCTTCTATTTTGAGCTGATGGTGACTGTCCTGCTATTCTCTAAACTGGACCGTCTTCTGGCTCCCGATCCCCTCCAGAATCGTGCACACGCCATGGGGCAGAGTCTGTAACTTTAGATCAGCAGGTCCCGCCTGCCCCAGAGAAGTTAGTGCATTCCCAGGCTGCACCACATTTCCTCCTGGGGTAAGTTTTCAAGGCATCAGAGCAAGTGAAGTGATAACGGTCTTGGTTGAACATGTAGTCCTATTTCTGGTGCTCATAGGGAAAATGGAATTCCGGGAGGCCTTGCTAAACTTCCAGTTAGATCTCCACGTGACCGGGACTGGAAGGTGCACTTGAGCGTGTGTGTTGGATATGGGCACATATCGATCCATCGACTTTCCAGGGATCAGCCTCAGCCCTACAGAACCCCTCTCTTCTCTCCCGCACATGGAACAGAGGGAAAGGGTTCAGAATCATTAATACCATGAGCTTCGGAGTCAGACAGGTTCAAATCCCACCACTGCCCTTAGCTGTGTGACCTTGGGCAAGTCACATAACCTTTCTGAACATCAGTTTCCCCAACCATCAAATCAAAGTATTTCAATTTTGTTATGTCGTTGTGAGAGTTATAAGCAAGACAAGGATGGCAAACATCCCTGAATGGAATACACAGTTCCGGGCACACAGCAAGTTCTCCATATG